AAGGGGCCGCGGAGGCACCGGGCGGTGCTGGGAACGGCAGCGGAGAGGGGTTGGGTACCTGTGGGTGGGGTGAGGTGGGCCGGGGAGGTGCTGGGCACCCAAGGGTGGGAGTCAGGTGCATCGGGAGGTGCTGGGCACCCACAGGGGCACGGGAGGGAGATACAGAAGGTGCTGAGTGCCCCTGGAGGTACAGAGCGCCCTGCAGACGACTCCGAACCCCAGCAGAGCTCATATGGACACCTCCCCCGCCCTCCCCATGCCTTCACGTTCCCCCAGGGAAGGTTTAGCCTGGACATTAGGAACAATTTGTTGCCCTTGAGGGTTGTCCAGGGCTGTGCCAGGCTGCCCAGGGCAGTGGTGGAGTCCCCATCCCTGGAGGGGTTTCCAAGCCGTGGAGATGTGGTGCTGAGGGACATGGTTTACCAGCAGACTTGATAGAGACAGGTTAACGGTTGGACTTGATAAACTTAAAGGCCCTTTCCAACCTAAATGATTCTATGATTCTAGCCCAAAATGCCCCAGACCTGGAGCATTCACGGCACCCAGGCTGAGTGCAACAGCCCTACCATGGATTTCCACTCTGTGTCCTTCCCTGCGCTATCCCCAGTCTTTTCCTGGCGACAAGAATCTCCTATCCCACAGAAAAGGATTTTTAGGAGAATTTCTCTCCTGGGAAGTTCCAGGAGCATTTAAATATAGGAGTAAAAAGGAGCTAACGCGAGGTGGGATGCTGATCTGAAGGCCACATGAAGAAGAAAATGAAATGGCTTTCAGCAGGTTGGAAAGAGAAGGGTGCCCATGGCTTGGCCAGGGGAACTTTCCAGGCTGCTTCCCAGGGCAGTGGGTGCAGGGGCTGCTGCCCAAAAATCACCAGCAGCATGGGATCAGGAGTGAACATCCAGCAACTCCAGAGCATCCCCAGTTTTGGGGGAGAGTGCTAATGAGGTTTTGTCCTTCTTTTATAAGAGCTGGTGCTTAGAAAGGGGGAAAAACAAAAACAATCAAAACAGTTCTGGGGCAGAAACAGAACCTCATCTTAGCATCCATCAAAACAGGGCTCAGATTTGGATAGAACAAGTTCCCTAATATGAGTCTTCTCAGCTCCAGCCTAAGTAAAATCAGAGTTTGGCAGAATGAGAAGCAAACACCCAGGTGCACAACCCGTTTGATCCAGCGCCCATACGAGCACCCAAAAGCCACAGCTCCTGCGGGTTCTGGGTTTTGCAGCATTTGGTCCCAAATTCAGTCTCAGTGCTCAAAGAAAAGGAACCTGTCCTGGGAAAAGCAGCTGGCACCATCGTGGCACCAGACCGACTCATGCTTCTGGAATTTGTCCTCTCAAGGAACAAGTAACTTTTCCCTTTCCAAAGGGGCTGTGGTAAAAAGTTGGTTGACTTCAGGTAGCCAAGGGAAAGTTTGTCCCTTAGGGCTTAAAAGGAGAAACTAAGGAGAAATTTTGCAGATGTTTCAATCTGCCTGCCTGTGCCCTCCCTGGCCGCCTTCTGTCAAGCAGAAGTTCTTCAGCTGCTCAGGGATGATGATCCTCAACCCTCCCAGGGCTCTGAGGCTCCATTTGTGTTGGTGCAGCTCTGATTGAAGCACCTCTACAAGAAGAACACATTTCTCTCGTGATCAGCTGAAGAAAGTGTGTCCAGAGCTCTGTCCTGCTCCGAGTCCTCAGCACAGCAGAGACAGGGACCTGCTGGAGTGGGGCCAGAGGAGCCCCAGCAATGCCCCAAGGGGGGAACCCCTCTGCTGGGAGCCCAGCAGGAGAGAGTTGGGCTTGGGCAGCCTGCAGAGGAGAAGGCTCCAGCTGGGGAGACCTCCTGGGGGCCTGCCAGGACTTCCAGGGGCCTGTCAGAAAGTTGGGGAGGGGCTTTTGAGCAGGGCCTGTTGGGACAGAACAAGGGGGGATGGTTTGAAACTCAAAGAGGGAGACTAGAGAGAAGGAATAAATTTTTGGTGCTCTGAGCAACCTGCTCTAGCTGCAGATGTCCCTGCTCCCTGCAGGGGGGTTGGACTAGGTGACCTTGAAATTGCCCTGCCCCCCCAAACCCTTCTGATTCTATGACAGGAGCAAGATGGTCATTTCCACATCAGCAGCATCTGGGAGAGCTGCAGTCTGGCATTATTCACTCTCAGAGATTTCTGCAGACTGAAACTTGCAGAAATCCTCATGTACCAAAACAGGCAGGAGAAAAACAAAACCAAGAGGAAGAACTGAAGAAAATCAGAGCCACGTTTCACTGTGGCACCCTTCACTCAGTACACATCACTCAGACAGGAACACAGGTATTTGTCTTTATTAAGACAAGAGTGGAAATTTCTTCCAATTTACCAAATTATCAGCACCGTGTGCTCACAAAGTCACCTTCTGGAGGCTGGAGCAGCCATGGAGGAGGAAAGGAGCTTTCCCAGGGGAGCTCTGAACATCCAGTTCTTCCTCAGTTCATCTGTGCTAGCAGCTCTTCAAGTTCTGGTCGGGACTTTAATCGGCTCTTGAAGTCAGCTTCTGTGTGCTGTGGAGGGAAGAAAAACAACAACCCAAGTAGATGAGACTCACCTCTTGAGTCCTTTTGGAAGTCAAGACGAATTCAAACCTCCCAAAGAGAATCCCTTCAGAGTGGTAAAACAAAAGACTTCAATGTGCCCTGAGCCTAGGGAGTGGGAAGCCCTCAGTGAAAAGTCTCTGCAGGTTACCATCTCATGGGCAGCTCAACCTGGAAACTCTGACCTCCTCTCCTACATCCAGCCTCCAACAGGAGCAGCTTCTGGGAGTAAAGCCCAGGGGGCAGAAAGCTTCTGACAGTGAATGCAGCAGCTGTGGACACACTTGGCCATGGCATGGGCTATGAAATTCAGCCTTGTAGGCTGCTCCTCACCTGGCTCGCTGCTTTTTGAAAAGTCAGTGACATTGTGCTCAGAAAGTCAGCTAGATGCCTGCAGCTCCACCACTGCCCATCACACTAGCATCCACTTTCTGAAGGAGACCTGCCACCTTCTCCAGAACTTTGCATCCCAAAGCTTTACTCTCTCTTTCTGCGCTGCCAGTTGTACAAAGGCACTTTGGGTCTCTCCCCTGGGCTTCCTGCATCAGGCTGCAATGACTTTGCAAACAACACAATGTCACAGTTCTCCCTCCAGAGACAAAGCCATTGGCCAAAATTAAAAAAAGAAACAGCAGCCCTAAGGCAGAGATGGGATTGTGAGCAAAGCAGAAAAGATTCTGGACTCAAGAGACCTTCTCTCATCTTCCTTCTGGTTTTACAGAGCTGGAGTCAACCAAACATTCTTCAAAGGCCACTTAAGAAGCCACCTGAGCTGTCCATGTTTGAATTTACTGTGCTGCTTTCCCTTTCCAGGCACAGAAGTCTTCAGTCCCTGGATAAAAAGGGCCTCCTGGGACCTTTTTATCCAAATCTAAAGTGACAGAAGTTTAAGTATCCTCTTATGCCTGGTCCACCAGTGAGTGGAGTTCTGTCGTGAGGTCCTCAGTGCTGAAAAAAGTGCTGGGACTTGCTGCAGAAAACAAGCTGGACCCCTCCCAGAGCAAATTCCATCAGAACAGGGTACAGCAACAGGGTTCCAGCCTTAGCTTTGCTACCAACTGCTCCATGAGGTTCCTGGGGACCCTCAGACAAGAAGTGCTGAAGCACTGCTGAGGGCAATAGTGCACAGCAGGACTGGGGCAAGGACTGTCCTCCTGGATTGGGCACTGGAGAGGCTGCCAGAGAAGGGTCTGGGGAACATGGCTTGTGAGGAGTTGCTGAGGGACCTGGGGGTGTTTAGTCTGGAGAAGAGGAGGCTCAGGGTAGGCCTTCTGGCTCTGGACAACACCCTGAAAGGAAGTTGGAGCCAGGTGAGGGTCAGGCTCTTCTCCCAAGAAGCAAGTAACAGGACATGAGGAAATGGCTTCAAAGTTGCCCCAGGGGAGGTTGAGGGTGGCCCTGAGGGACAATTTGTTGCCCTTGAGGGTTGTCCAGGGCTGTGCCAGGCTGCCCAGGGCAGTGGTGGAGTCCCCATCCCTGGGGGGGTTTCCAAACCGTGGAGATGTGGTGCTGAGGGACATGGGTCAGGGGGAATCTGGCAGTGCTGGGAGGATGGTCAGAGCTGTTAATGAACTCAGACAGGAACACAATCAGAGTCATAGAATCACAGAATCATTTTGGTTACATCCCTTTTGAGTCGCAGGGAATCTGCTGCAGCAAAGGAAAGCGACTTGCAACCTGCCATTCTCCTACAGATCTACAGGACTGGCTGGGAAGGTGACTCCTGTGGCACTAATTATAGGAGGCTAAATGGGACATGAAACACTCATCAGGAATTAGAGGTAATGGGTTTTGATAGACCAAGTGAGGGCCTGGTTCTGGGAGACGCCGGATGTCCCTCAGTCTCAGGTGGACAGCAGCCTCAGGGCCAGGTCTGTATTTTCCAGGTAAATTCACATCATGCCTCGTATCTGCTTCCTGCTTGCCAAGGCATGGGTGGAGTGACACATACCTCTTTCACTGCCAGGTGGACCCCCTCGGGCTGGCTGCTCTGAAGAACTTCCAAGAGTATCGGCGCAAACGTTGAACTCAAACCGCTGATCTGAAAGAAGAAATAAAACGGGCTGCAGGAGCAGAACACCACCCACAAAGTCCTCCCCGTAAAACAGATCTCCTGGCTGAAATACACACTCCAGGAACCCCTCCTCCGCTTTGTGAGCACCCTTCTGCAGTAAACCTTGTTAGGCTTCCTTGTGCTTCAATTTACCCCCAATTCAGGCTTTTTGTGCCTTCAAGGGACTCGCCTCCAATGGTTCAGGGTTTTCAGAGCCTGAGACCGGAGGAGCTGCACCAGAGCCGCAGCACCTGGGGCAAACACCAGCTCCTACCTGGACAACCCTCTGATGGGTGGTGAGGACGGCGTCCAGCTGCATTTTGGACCCTCGCTCTTCCAGGAACAGCACTTCATTGGTTTTGGTGGGCATCGCGTAGCTGCAGGAACCACAGGTCAGTGCTTAGGATGGGGAGGAGAGATTTGAGCTGCTTTGCAGGAAGGAATCTGCCTCCAGCAGCAGGGAGCGTGGAAGGAGATGAACTTTTCATGAGAAATTAGTTATGCAAACAATGCATCTTGCAATTCAGGCCCTGGCAGATGCCAGGTGTTTTACTGGAAAGAGATAAGGGAGAAGCTTGCACAGCTACTGCCAGCAAAAAACTGCTTCAGCTACAAACACCAGCCTCAGAACTGGAAAGTTCTCTAGAGCTGGAGGAGACCTTTAAAGGAACAGCTCTGAATTTAACAGGAGTATGATCAGGTCATAGAATCACAGAACCATTAGGGTTGGAAATCCAACCCCCCTGCAGGGAGCAGGGACATCTGCAACTAGAGCAGGTTGCTCAGAGCCCCGGCCAACCTCCCCTGGAATGGTTCCAGGGATGGGGCAGAGAGCAACTCTCGGGGCAGCCTGGGCCAGGGGCTCACCACCCTCACAGTGAAGAATTTCTTCCTTCTCTCCAGTGTCCATCTCCCTCTTTAGCTTAAAAAGACCACCCTTGTCCTGTCCCAACAGGCCCTGCTCAGAAGACCCTCCCGAGCTTTCTGACAGGCCCCTGGAAGTCCTGTCAGGCCCCCAGAAGGTCTCCCCAGCTGGAGCCTTCTCCTCTGCAGGCTGCCCAAGCCCAACTCTCTCCTGCTGGGCTCCCAGCAGAGGGGTTCCCCCCTCGGGTCATTGCTGGGGCTCCTCTGGCCCCGCTCCAGCAGGTCCCAGTCTCTGCTGTGCTGAGGACTCCAGAGCTGCCCCAGCACTGCAGGGGGGTCTCCCCAGAGTGGGGCAGAGGGGCAGGATCCCCACCCTGCCCTGCTGCCCACGCTGCTGGGGGTGCAGCCCAGGCTGCAACTGGCACAGCACCAGTAAGAACAAGCTACAGCCCACCGCCCACATTTTACCCTACGAGTTTTGCTCTTAGAGGGCAAATAATTTCTTTCTGTACCTAATGAACTCGGCAGCCCGAGTACACCCTCAGAAGACACAAGTATGAGACAAAGCCCCACACTGAAAGCACCAGAAGGACTCTGAGGCTGGGGGATTGCTCTGTGAATGCTTTGCAGAGTGTTGCTGCTGACACCATCACTCCTCAGTGTCACCATGTAGCCTTCCCCAGACAAACACCTGTCACTCACCAACGTGTCACAATTTTTTTGTGATATCTTTTTGCACTGAGCAGCACTAAGACTACAAGCAACAGATCTACAGGCACAGGATTTCAGATCCTTGGCTGACACTTCAGCAAAGTGGATGAAAAATGCTAAGTTTAATCAGCATGAGCAGGAAATGAGGAGCTGACTAAAGCTCCTCGGGCATGTGGGAGGCACCAAGAAGCTGTATCACATTGCTCAGACTCATCCCAAAATAGTGAGGGTTAGAATGGACCTCTGGAGATCATCTCCTCCAACCCCCCTGCTCCAGCAGGTCGCCCACAGCAGGGTGCCCAGGGTCACATCCAGGTAGGTTTGGAATCTCTCCAGAGCAGGAGACTCCCCAGCCTCTCTGGGCAGCCTGCTCCAGGCTCAGCCACCCTCACACCAAAGAAGTTTCTCCTCCTGCTCAGGTGGAACCTCCTGGGTTCCAGTTGGTGCCCACTGCCCCTTGTCCTGTCGCTGGGCACCACTGACAAGAGTCTGGCCCCAGCCTCTTGCCCCCCAAGGCCCTTGCGCTCTTGCTCAGCACTGATCAGATCCCCTCTGAGGCTTCTCTTCTGCAGCTCAGCAGCCCCAGGGCTCTCAGCCTGTCCTGGCACAGACATGCTCCCGGCCCCTCAGCAGCTTCGCAGCCTCCACTGGACTCTCTCCAGTAGCTCCTGGTCTCTCTGGAACTGGGGAGCCCAGAACTGGGAACACTATTCCAGAGGTGGCCTCACGAGGGCAGAGTAGAAGGGGAGGAAAACCTCCTTTGACCTGCTGGCCACACTGTTCTTCATACACCCCAGGAGACCATTGGCATTCTTGGCCACAAGGGCCCATTGCTGGCTCATGGGAAACTTGTCCCCCAGCAGCCCAGGTCCTTCTCCTTGGAGCTGCTTCTCAGCAGGTCACCCCTCCCCTGTCCTGCTTCAGGGGGTTAATTCCTCTCCAGGTTCAGAACCCTTCACTTGCCCTGGTTGAACTTCAAGAGGCTCCTTTCTGCCCAGCTCCCCAGCCAGCAAAGCTGCTCTCAGGGCTACATCTGCTGTCAAGATCCAGCATGCCACTGAAGCCTCCACTGATCCTAAAGCAGCCAGTGGCTCTCTCACAATCTTCAGGGCTTTCCCAAGCTCACTCTTAATTTTTCAGAACCAATATCACTTGATTTCTGCACAGCAAACACACAAAGCCTGGATGAAACTGTACAGAAAAAACAGCAGCAGAAGTCAGCGATATTTAAGCCAACAATTCCGGGCTCAGCACCCAGAGGCTTAAGCCTTTTTCTCCTGGGAGTAAAAAGTAACAGCTGTTTTCTTCTTGAGATCTGTTCCATCAGTGCCTGAAGCACTCCTTCTGATTCCCTTACAGGAATAAGGCATCCAAAACCACATGGACACAGAAACAAACACCACCAGGCAGATGGCAGGAGGTTTGGATTTACCTATGGGAATCTCTCAGGGAGGGTAGATTGTGCCCTTGTCTGCAAGGTATCATCATCTTCCCAACAAGGGCTGTCCAGGGCTGTGCCAGGCTGCCCAGGGCAGTGGTGGATTCCCCATCCCTGGAGGGGTTTCCAAGCCCTGGAGATGTGGTGCTGAGGGACACGGGTCAGTGGGGACCTGGCAGTTCTGGGGAACAGTGGGACTCAAGGATCTGAAAGGTCTCTTCCAACCCAAACACTTCTATGACTGTATGACCATCTTAGAGCCTCGCCTGGCCTAACACGTGACTGTGAGGGCTGGGGAGAGTGGAGCCAGGCTCCTCCTACCTTTCCTTCACCCTGATGGACAGTCGGTTGCAGAGATTATGCACATACTGAGCAAAATGCTCCACAAGACACAGATCGTAGGAAGTCATCTGGATGTTGACATCTCCATACTCATGTTCGGTCCCAACATTTATCTCTTTCATCTGGACTCTGTCCTTTTTCTTCTTTGGAGTCTGCATTAAAAAAAAAAAAATGAAATAGAAAGTGTCTCTGCCTTGAACAAAGCTGGAAGTAAAAGCTGTGACCTGTTGCCCACACAGGACACTCTGCTGAGGTTCTCCCTTCTTATAGAGGTTTCCTGAATGTCGAACACCTCACAGCCCATCTGTGCTCCCTTTCCCTGACTATGGAACTGGGCTGACATTTTCTTAACAGGTGTTCTCTAGTTAAGCAGTTCAGGTCTTGGATGGCAGCAGCACACAAGTCACACAGAAAACACTTGCATAACCATGATTCAATTCTGCCAGAAAAAAAACAAGGAGTAGAAACCAAATTGCTTTTTATTTCAGTCCCTGCCTTTGAGGCAGCTGTCTACATGAGTTGTTTCCTCCTGCTACAAAAATTTTCCTCTTTCCAAATTTCAGGGAATGTAAAAAGTCTAATTGCAAATAAGGTCTGCTCACAATATTCTGTGATAATTTGAAGTTGGGTGTGAAATTCATCATCAGGAAGAGATTCCTCACTCCCCAAACTACCCATTCACTTGAACAAGAATGGAATGGCTAAAAGAACCTATTTATGCAGTGTTGTGAGTGGGTACTTCACAGAATCACAGCACAGAACCACAGACTGGTTTGGGTGGGAAGGGAACTTTCAAGGTCATCCAGTCCAGCCCCCTGCAGGGAGCAGGGACATCTGCAACTAGAGCAGGTTGCTCAGAGCCCCGGCCAACCTCCCCTGGAATGGTTCCAGGGATGGGGCAGCGACCACCTCTCGGGGCAGCCTGGGACAGGGGCTCAACACCCTCAGCATGAAAACTTTCTTCTCTACAGTCTGAATCTCCCTATTTTACTTTAAAACTACCAGCCCTTGTTCTGTCCCAACAGGCCCCGCTCAAGTCTGTCCCCACCTTTCTGACAGGCCCCTTGCAATACCAAAAGGCCACCAGAAGGTCTCCCAAGCCACAATAACATCTCCCAACATGACATAACACTCTCTACCAAGACAGGCAGCAGTAAACCATTACATTATTCCTTTTAATACAACTCTTCAGCCATGGAGTTAATAATACCCACATTTAACACAGGCTGCAAGAAGATGGGTCAGCAGAAAGCAAGCACAGCAGGGGAGCTCTTATACCTACCTCCTTTGGGAGCAGGTATTTGAACCTCCCGATGCCGTGCGTGGGACGGGATCTGTAGGGTCTGTGGCAGCTCACCAGCACATCACCTTCAGATGGAAGCAGAGCAAACGTGTTTCCCGTGGAATGGCAAACAGCCCTTCCTTAACAGACACATGGGGCTCCAAGACCCCAAATCCACACTGGGGCAAGAACCTGTCCTTGGTCCCTTGACGGAAGGCAACCCTGAGGCTTCAGCTGATCTCTGCCCCACACAAGCAGCAGCCTGTGACAGTCCACAGGCTCTTATGATGAGCAGCAAGTAAGAAGGAAGAGATTAAAAGTGACTCATTCCCAGGTGAATTCTCAAGCAGAGAAAAAAATAACCCAAAGACAAGACTTGTCAGCACCAGTGGATAGTGAAGATACTGATGAAATATTACATCTGCTGATGAAATGTTCTGTCTTTAACTCCCTGACAGGAGGTTGGAGTGAGGTGGGGGTTGGTCTCTTCTCCCAAGGAACCAGCAATAGGACAAGAGGCACTGGGCTGAAGTTATCCCAGGAGAAGTTTCCATTGGACCTTAGGCAGAATTTCTCTCCTGCCAGAGTGGTGAGGCCTTGGCCCAGGCTGCCCAGGGAGGTGCTGGAGTCCCCAGCCCTGGAAGGGTTCAAAAAATGTGTGGACGTGGCACTTGGGGCCATGGTTTAGTGGTCATGGGAGTGTTGGGTTGATGGTTGGACCTCAGGGGGGTGTAAGTCAGTTCCTGGGCAGGAACAGTCAACAGTATGTGGCTGGTGCTGCTCCACAGCATAACACCAGGACTAGCACCACTGCTTGGCCAAGAACAGGGACCAATCCCCACCTCACTCCAACCTCCTGTCAGGGAGTTGTCCACTCAGCCTCCTCTTCTCCAGGCTCAACGCCCCCGGGTCCCTCAGCTGCTCCTCACAAGCCATGTTCCCCAGCCCCCTCCCCAGCTTTGTTGCCTTTCTCTGGACCTGCTCCAGCCCTTCAAGGTCTTTCTCATCCTGTGGGGCCCAAAACTGACCCCAGCCCTCAAGCTGTGGCCTCCCCAGTGCTCACATCATTCAGCCAGTCCAAACTGGGCCAGAAAACGTATCAAAAGGAGACACAAGCACTCTAATGTGTAACATACAGTTTGGGTAAATGAAGTTTTGCCTTGCATTGGGTTACCAACAGGCCTTACCTGCAGCACACAGGCGGCTTTCTCGGGGTGTTGCTGCCCTGCAGGAAACAAGATTATCATTAAAAGCTGGGATTTCACCCTCCTGTGGAAACACAACATACCTGGCCCATTTCCTACTTCCTGGCAGGAGATCATGCCCCTGGATTGGGCACTGGTGACTGCACCTTGAGCCCTGGGTCCAGTTTTGGGCACCACATGATTAGAAGGACATTGAGGTGCTGGAGTGGGTCTAGAGTAGAGCAACGAGGCTGGTGAGAGGGCTGGAAAACATGCCTTAGGAAGCCTGGCTGAGGGAGCTGGGGTTGTTTAGTCTGGAGGAGACTGAGAGGAGACCTCATTGCTCTCTACAACTACCTAAAAAGAGGTTGGAGTGAGGCTGGTGTTGGTCTCTTCTCCCAAATTACTGATGATACGACAAGAGGAAATGGTCTCAATTCGCACCAGGGGAGGTTTTCATTGGATATTGGAAAGAATTTCTTCTCTGAGAGAGTGGTGAGGCACTGGAATGGGCTGCCCAGGGAGGTGGTGGAGTCACCACCCCTAGAGGGTTTCAAAACACAAGTACATGTAGCACTTGAGGCATGGTCTAGTGGTTAGGGAGATGTTGGGGGGAAGGCTGGACTTGATGATCCTAAAGGTCCTTTCCAACAATAGTGATTCTCGGATTCCTTGACGAAGGCTCACAGCCCAAGTCCCTCTGGCACAGCCAAATCCCATTAGCAAAGAGATATTCACTTCTTCACATCCTACAGCCAGTTCAGCTCCCAGACCAGCACCTGAAACTCCTCCCTCCACAGTTAAAAGATTTTGCCTACTAAGTCCTGATCTGTTTTAGCAGAGGACTTTAGAGCCCTGTTGGCTCAATGGTGGGACTTGATGATCTTAAAGGTCTCTTCCAAACCAAAGGATTCTATGATTCTAAGTCCTCTGCAAAAACAGAAT